AGAAGTGTGCTTATTGCGTAATATTGTCATGTGTTTGTGATATGTACCGCCTCACTTCTAAATGCAGTTTAAGTCTTATATAGTTTATATTTAAATATTATGAAACATATAAAATGAAAAAACATTATCTATTCATCGCATGATATTTCAAAGAAATTGAATAATCAAAATTGAGCGACTTTGCTGATACGAATATGAATAGCCATTTATCAAAGAAAAAATGACATGATAATCTGACAGTTATCTGAAAAATCAAAGTGTACATTCTGTGTCAATTTAAATAGTTTCATCACTGTGATAAAGTCATAATATATCGTTTACACTAAATGATTTGAAGGTGAGTGAAGAAATGTGTTAAGCCACATGTGTGGAATAAAACACATCGTACATAAGTTCAATAAGGCGTGATTTACATTCTGAATTTTAGCTTAGATTATTTCGAGTTAAATCATTGATTTTTGTTATCGCTTAGTCGCATACACCAAATTGATTTGGTTTTTAAGGGTTGAATGAAAATAGTTTATAAACCGCAGGTGTCACTATTCGAGGTGATTAACATATGTTTAATTGAAACACCGTGATATAATAATTAAGTCATAATATAATATGGCGTTTAAACCAAAATTATTTTCAAAGGATTAAGCCACAGGTGTCGATTGATGCCACAACCTCGTTTGAAATGTTCATGATTCTCCATCAAAGATCTTTTGAAGATTCCTTTGATACATCACTGGCGACCCTTCATTTAAGGAATTGAGAAGTTATAACATTAGGTACATTTGCATATAGTTGGCAATGATGTAGATCCATTTAACCAAGGGACCCTTAGACATGCATGCACAACAGATCCATCTTTTACTGTGTCAGGTATCTATAGGCCTACGGAAGAGTCTGTGAACGAGTTTGTAATCGTTATGGGTCCCAAATTAAGATGTACCTTGCATTCCGCGAAGAATCATGACGTAACTGTAGAATGTACAAAAATCATAAATGCGTTAATACCGACACTTGCCAATGAAAGTCTACGTGAACTGGCGCGAAGATTTTGCGAAGGATGCGGGTGTGAATGCCACGTCTAAGATAACGTAAGGGAAAACTTTGAAATATATACGTTTTCGTACATGCGTTACCTATGTGTGGACACCAGTCCTAAAACGCTTTGTTCAAGCGTGAACTATGTTCAAACAATGTAGTGCCATTGAGTGTCAATGTGTGCCAATGTGGTCAATTGTTTGGTCGTGCATTGTGTAATACTGTACGTGATTCTTCGCGAACAAGCGGCAAACGCTGAATAACACGCTTTGTCACGAACTACTGCGTGTCCTTGCTGGAATAAAATTCGTGCAAGTGTCCATGTGGCATTAGTCAAATTTATATTGGACGATATTGGAAATAATACATTGGCTTTATATATACAGTAGTTCTTCCAAGCAATAACATATGGTTAAAGTATATCATCAGGTCAAAATCGTCACATACACAAAATAAAAAAATGTCTGTAATCAAGTTACAAACTGGTTTACTGTCAAGGACTTGCGATAAAATCACTGATTAGTTATTAAAATCAAACGTTCGAGTGTATCATCAGACAAAAGTTACTTCTGGTAGTTGGAATCTGGCATACTACACTCTTGTAGAGGTCAAACAAATACACGTGCCTAAGGCCTTCAAATTGTTTAGTAAAATGGATTATATTCAGTCTTAAATACTTACAGATTTCTTTTCAGGCCAGACTGAACCATGTATCGTCTTTATAGTATACCATCGATCATGGCATTTTCTTTTAAAAGAATCCTTGACATCCCAGACTTCAATAAATAATGTGAAATTAGCAAGATCAGGTGTGCTCAGATCTAAAAAAAAAAAAAAAAACCAAAAACGTACGAACAAATTCACGACGTCAAAATATAACATTGAGTGTCATATTGAGGAGATCTCAGATCATTCTTCGAATACGCAGACGATCGGACTATAGTCCTATGTTCTTCGGGATAAAATGCGAATGAAAGGTATAATTTGATTATCAAACCTCTTAATGATGGCTTCCAGGTAATATCAATTATTGGTTCCCCAGTGTCTTCCTTTCTTTCTACTTTGAGATCAGTTGGTGTACCAGGCAGATCTCTATATCCACCTTTAACATAATAAAAGATAGCTTTCCAGGCAAGGTAATATACGCCCACTGACAGCTTTGATTTTAAAGCATTTTAAACATTTGGCAGTACAACAATTACCCGTATGATATATTCAACCTTGAGACATACACTTCTTTTGAACTTTTTGAGTCGATACTCAATAATATTACCAAGTTTTATCAAAATCTGTCAAGAATTGGGCCTTCTAGAGTGATTACAGGCTAAAACTTGAACGCGTTTTTAAGAACAGGGGTAATAATATTTTTCGGTTTTTCTGATTTTTGTTATGGTTTATCTTTGGTTTTTGATTACATACACTCACACCAAGTTTCGTCAAAATCGAGCCATTGTGGACGGACGGACGGGCGTATAAAAAGGTTAGTTAGGATAAGAGTTTGAAATCAGTCGTTGTACCTGGTAAATCTCTATATCCGCCTGTAATACTATAATAAAGGTTAGTTAGAGTAGCAGTTTGAGATCAGTCGCTGTACCTGGTATAGATCTCTATACCCACCTGTAATACTATAATAAAGGTCAGTTAGAATAGCAGTTTGAGATCAGTCTCTGTACCTGGTAGATCTCTATATCCGCCTGTTATACTATAATAAAGGTTAGTTAAGATAGCAGTTTGAGATCAGTCGCTGTACCTGGTAGATCTCTATACCCGCCTGTAATACTATAATAAAGGTTAGGTAGGATAGCAGTTTGAGATCGGTCGCTGTACCTGGTATATATCTCTATATCCGCCTGTGATACTATAATAAAGGTTAGTTAGGATAAGAGTTTGAGATCAGTAGCTGTACCTGGTATAAATCTCTATACCCGCCTGTAATACTATAATAAAGGTTAGTTAGGATAGCAGTTTGAGATCAGTCGCTGTACCTGGTAGATCTCTATACCCGCCTGTAATACTATAATAAAGGTTAGTTAGAATAGCAGTTTGAGATCAGTCGCTGTACCTGGTAGATCTCTATATCCGCCTGTAATACTATAATAAAGGTTAGTTAGAATAGCAGTTTGAGATCAGTCGCTGTACCTGGTATATATCTCTATATCCGCCTGTGATACTATAATAAAGGTTAGTTAGGATAGCAGTTTGAGATCAGTCGCTGTACCTGGTATAGATCTTTATACCCGCCTGTAATAATATAATAAAGGTTAGTTAAGACAGCAGTTTGAGATCAGTCGCTGTACCTGGTAGATCTCTATATCCGCCTGTAATACTATAATAACGGTTGGTTAGGACAACAGTTTGAGATCAGTCGCTGTACCTGGTATAGATCTCTATACCCGCCTATAATACTATAATAAAGGTTAGTTATTTTATCACCTTGTTATGGGATACTACATATGGATTAATAATATATAATATATATGATCGATGATATGATGTATATCATTTCTTTAGGCGGTTTAAAAAATAGTTTATTATTACTTTACAATATATGGATTAATATGACAATATGTGTAAGGTTTTGAAAAGAAATTTTCGGCAATTATCTCTCTATGGCGAAGTGTAAAAACTTCTTACCGGGAGGTAGTTTTGGATGTAACGATGAGGGACATGCTTCTGTTTCAAATTTGTGGGTTATCACTTCACATGGTGTATTAGGCTGAAACAAAACAATGGCAATGAAAACTACAATTGACTGTTAACTGAATGTGGTTTGACAAGAGATAATGAAAATAAAAAAATAACAGGATATCAGGATCACTCAGTAAATACATATTTTATAGTAAAATTACGATACGACGGGTATGACTAATATTATCTATTATATTTGACCACAGAACACATTATAATATTAAAGAAAAACAACCAATAAGAGAATTCAAATATAAATAGAAAATGCTGATTTTCTTTTTAGTGAAAGAATAAAATTTCCTCATTATCTGGTTTGATCAAATGCCATTTTATGACATCTCTTTCAATCCCAAATTTGCGTATATGCCGTTTTATTGACTCAAAAAAATCCTCCTGCCGCCTGTTTTGATGAAATGTGGTGAAGAACCACTAGAGAAGGCAACTGTGTTTATGGAGTCAATGTATGAATATTCGATTCAACCTTTAAGGTGTATAGTTATAAGGAATAATAAGGTCACACGTGTAATTTCTATAACAGAAGATACTGGACTGAAACCTAATAATTTTAATAAGGTGTCTGTGTAAATACATAAATATTATCCTTTCATCAAACAAATTGCTAAATATTTAGATAAGAAAAGAAAATGTCGATAAATCGTTTATTAACTGAATGCTTAAGTGAGATATATGACATTATTTAATATCATTTGAAGAAAGGAAAAACGTCTATTGTGATCTCTCAAATTTGCATTGAAAATCAAATTCATGGATGGCAAGATAATGAGAACCTATATAAGTAATAACTTTAACGAC